ATTTACAGTTTATCAAGAGCTTTTGTGTAGCTTACTTCTAAAATTCAGTGTTTTCATCCAAATGAAATTGTTGAAATTATTGAGGGGTTTAAATTTAAGGCATACTTTAATTCTGTCCTTTAAACATTTGCATCAGAAAGACAATTCGTTCTTTCAGAAATGCTCAAACAGAACTCTTCAAAATATAAATATACTTAAAATTTTAGATTCTTGCATTCAACCATAAATACATTTATTACAAACTATAAATGGTTTTTGTAACTTACACAACTATTAAAACGCTGAGCCAATATATATGTTACAAGACACTAATTAAGGTGACTTAAGTGCGGTGAGTGCATCAGCTGCAATTCATCCAAATGAAAGTCTTTCTCATCCTTCCATTTAATAAAATGTTAAGGGTTAAGGGATAGAGAGCAGTATGCCAAGAATATCAAAAGGAATATGCCATTTAAATTCAGAACCAAGCAAAAACTTCTGAGTTGTAAAAATGAAAATAATAATTAAAAAATAGGGACTGTTAAGAGCAACATGATTTCAGTAACTTTGTTCTTTCTACTGAGCATTTTCTTCTGGGTTCTCTGGATTTATGTTTAATATTTGCTGATACAATGTTAATAAACCCCTCAAAGATTAAAGTGTGTCTTTTTGCCCAAAAGACTTTTAATTGAAACTTAAAATCAAGGCTTCAATTACCAATTCAACTACATGAGAATTAAAATGTCTCATATTAAAAGCAATAACTCAGTTGGGTTTTTTTCTTACGAACAGGCAAACTTCAGACCAACCTCTTGAACAGAAAAACCTAAAAACCAAGTAGCAATAACTACTCTGAAAACAAAACACTAATCAAATGCAAAAAGACCTCATGTAGTGGGTGACATCCCTGCCCATGGCAGGGGGGTTGGAACTGGATGATCTTTGAGGTCCCTTCCAATGCAAACCATTCCATGAAGATAGAAGCTACAGATCCATTGTGATATACATACTATCAGGCTTCAGACATAAAAGGCTTTGAGTCCAACAGCAATATCACAGTCATTTTCAAACAGGAAAGAAGTGGTTTATACAATGGTAAATCAGCTCACAGAAAGTTATCTTTTTTGGACCACTGGCCATAAACACAGTAGAGTTTATTTTCCCTTTAAAAAGCCCTAATGCAGGACAACACAATTTCTGCCCGACATCTCCCAAGTACCACATCCTCCTTTGGATACAATATAAAACTATGCTGCATTACTTTAGATTTATAAACACAACTGCAAATGTGATTGAAATGGTTAGGGTTAATAAAAACTAGGATTACATGTTAAAGTTTTAATGAGAGTGTAAAATCCAAATAATTCATCTTTACTCCAATACAAAATAGGAACAATTAATTATAAATGAAATTAAGATTTTCCTTTTTAAAACCAATTTCTTCTGCAATATGGAAGCAGTTTAAAATAAGAGGCAGGAGCATTAATACTTAAATTTTAGCATCACCTAAGATTAAAACAGAATGTAGATCAAAGTAACTGTAAAAAGGTGCTGTAAAAGAGCCTTAGCCAGAAGTGGTATAGTTAGGATGGAGACTGATTTAAAAAAAAAAAATTAAAAAAATAAATATCAAAGGTTAACTATGTAAATAAAATAGAAAAAGTAATTTGAGGAGACAGCAAATGAGCATTTTTAGCATGTTATGCTTGGTGACATTTATAAACAAACACTGATAATGGAATATCAGCTGAAAAGCTGTTTACTATCCCACACTTAACCTTTTAAACCATGGTTCCAGCCTAGCAAGGCACTTTGATTCTTCTTTGTGATGTAAGTATCTATAAATTTGGTAGGCAAAGTTCATGCCTTTATAAGCTCCATACATTATTACAGTTGCTATTCTTATGTGTGGTGTCTAAAATGACTCCCTCCAGCTAAACTAGACTTACCGGAACCCAAATTTTAATTTGCTTTCTTTTGAACTAGAAAGATATGAGAGATCTATTAGCAATTACATCCCTGATTAACAAAAAAAAGATCATTTAAATACCAACTACTTGACAATCTAGAACTTTACAAACCCCTTAACTAGCTTAATCTGAAAGCTTAGTTAATTTCAGTTTGTCAGTATGAAAATTCCTGTTTTAACTAAGTATCTGTTAACGCTGAAATTTTAAGGTGATTTGAACAATCCTGACTGTTATGCAATATCATGCAATACTATCTGAATGTAATAAAGACATTTTATTATTTCACTTTTCAGTAAAACCTAGCTTTGATTAATTGCCATCTAATACCTTAGAGGTACTTCAGCATTAGCATTAATATTTCAGAGTGTGTGACAATACCTTCTCACTGGTAAGGAGCTCCAGCTGTGACGACAGGTCCTTTATTCGTCTCTCTTTTTCTGCCAGCTGAATCTATATGAGAAGATTCCTGTATTAGTGAACAGAAACTATTTCCCTGCATGTTGTATTGTGAAAACAAAGTTGCCTGATTAATTTAAATCTTTCAGATGGAAACAGTTTGTCTACTGCAGTTACATGCAACATCTAATGCTACTACAAATCAAACGCAGCAATTCTCAGTGTTTATCTGCTGGCTAACAGCAGTACATAGCAGCCTTTTCTTGCCAGCTTTCAGAAAACAGTTGTAGAATGATAAAATTCTATGTTAAAACCTAGTAGTATCAATGACACTAAGTGCAAGAGGGACACCACCGCCCAGAAACAGCTTGCAAACCTCATTCATTATTTCTGAAGAAATCAGCTGGCATTTCAGTGATTTATTTCGTTCACATCTCTCCAGCTCTTACATCCCAACACAGAACTGAGAGAACCAAAACCTCCTCCTACCTCAAAGACACTAAATGTGTTTCACAAACATCTACCTTATGTCTCTATTGGGTGCTCTGGGAGGAGGTGCAGCTGACAGATTACACAACTCTTTCTTGCTCGAAATGAGGATTTAAATAATCTTTCTCTACAAAGGACTATATTATTTGTATTCTGGTTACTTTGGAGACTGCCTCTCCCCTAGTTTTTTCTAACATCTAAGCTCATGATCTGCATATTACATATTTTTCTCAATTCTGAAACTCCATCTCCTAGCTCAGGTTGATGGAGCAAAATCTCCTGGCTGGGAAAAAAATTCACTTTTTTCTCCACCACCTGCACCCTCCTGAATTATAAGGTTTTAATTGCAGTCAAAATGCCTTCAATTGTGGAACCAATTATTTATTTCTCCTGCTGTTGAGAAGTTAGAACAAACTTATTTCACATTAAATTATGCATGGCAACTGATCACTGCTAATTAGTGAAAGAACAAACTGGCAAGAGTCATGCATTTCATAAAAGTGAAAACAGAGCTTCAAAAAGGAGAGCCTACAGGATACTCAAACGGTTGAGTAATTCATCACTTTATAGGGAAAAAGTGCTGCCATTTCTATTGGAAAGGTGTTCCTAGTAGAACTGATACAGTCACAGTTCAATTTAATCCCTGTTCATCACAACGGGCAAAAATGGGCAACAGAGAATATTGTATGCTGTCAACTGCACTATCACCATTAGACTGAGAACCAGAACAAAAGCTGGTACATAAATATATGTAAATATGTATAAAAATAAATGAAGAAAATATATTATGGAAATTTGTTGCTCTTATTTAGTCTCTACTGACCTAAAAAGCCACCTCAACACATGCCCTACTATCACATAACCTCAAAGATTAAGGCCTCTTGTAAGCCAAAGCTGCCCATTATGCTTGACTTCCTGGTAAATGTGTTACATCACTCTACTAAGACTATAACTGAGATCCTCCAAATTAAATTCTCTCATGAAGATTTTCAAAACAATGTATCACTCCTCTCTCTCTAGTTAATTCAGATAAAATGCATTAGACTGGTCATGCAACATGCAATATGAAGATTTTGGACAAACACACCAATCAATACTCCTGTTAGTACTAGAGTAAGTACCAGGAAATTAGAACTCTCTTGCCCTTTTTTTTTCCTCCCCTAATACAAGATTAATGTCATTTGGATGTTTGTCTAAACCTACAATATTAAAAGACTGAGAGCCATCTGGTAGTATACTTAGCAGATCTCTCTTACTTCAGAAGAAGCATTACAAGACTGTGTTGTTTCCACAAGTGCAAACCAGAATTTCTGTTTACAGCACAAGTACATTTAGTGTGTTTTCCCTATTAAAACTCGTCCTTACTTGAACTATCAGAAATCAGCAACCATGTTAAGCACAGGTAATTCATTATCATAAACAAAATCTGTCACTTACTTTATACTGATCCTCCATTGCTGCTAGTTGTAGTTTTATACCTTCATTGATTTTCACTTGTTCTTTCCACTTCAGCTCCAGTTTAGCCAGTTCATCAGCATAAACACTGCACTTCAACTTCTCTTCCTAAAGTAGTTTAGAGCATGGCATGAAATGTTCACACTTTTAAGAGATTTCTCCTTCCACCCCCAACAATGTCACTGTGTAACTCACTGCTTTTAGAACAAGATTGTTTGCAAATGGCTTGTCCAAGAACAAGCCATTACCTGACTCAAGACTCAGGAGCTCAGGACCAGTGAACACTGCATAAATGATGTTCCATATGCTTTTTTTCTTGAGTTTTCAACAAGTTGATATTCCTTTCTAGCTTCACAACTTCAAGTTTCTTTGTACCCTAATACTACTAATCATGATTTTCCCTTCAAGTATCTCACTTTGGTACAAAACCTTTCCCCAAGCAACTTTTACAACCTAAATATCTTTCATCCAGAAGGTCAAAGGCAAAGCTTTCCTCAAACATGGGAGAAATAGCCAGCAGGGTTATGAGCAGAATTACAGGACAGTTATTACATCCTGGAGAACTTATTAAAATAAAGTAACATCATTGTGAGAAATAAAAGAAACAAGATGAAAAGAGACAACAGCTAGAAAGCATTTCTTAAACTGTTGTCAACTTTTCACCAGCATCACTGATGCAGTACTCCATCATCATACATCCATCCAAACTGGTTAAACGAAAATCAAGCTAATACTGACAGGTATAGTATTTGAAGAGCATTATTATTGTGGGCACAGCACTACCAGTGTCAACTTTGCTGCAGACAACCAAATAAATGCCTTTATGTACGATTCAGCACAAGCTAGTAGGCAGCGCCACCTCAGATGTCAAACCACTGTAAAAGCCATGACAGTCAGGTATGGAGAGGTTACTATGCTTGGACAGCATGACAGATCAACACTGCTGTGCTTGTTTCAAACATCAGCTGGCTTACAGCAATTACACTTAATGTAAGAAAGGAAAGTATTCAAAACCTTAAGTATACTAGTTTTACTCATTTGTTTTACTGCATCTGGGTTTTCCTGAAGGATCCTTCTCTGGACTCTGTAACACCACAGGTAGTCAGGAGATGACTTAATAAAAACATGCTTTCTAATGTTCAGAATTCTACCATAATCACAGTGTATCACACAAACAAGGAAGGCAATTCAGCTGGGTTAGCCTTGTGGTTTTAAAGCTTTAAGACGCCTATAGCTACTTTTTGTTCAGCTTTCCAAAGCTGCCATTTACTTACTGCCAACATTTGCTTGCATTTCTTATACTTCTCTGTTTTCTCAGCAATTTCTTTGTTCATTTCACGTACTTGCTCCTTTACCACAAATTCCGAAACTATGTCAGATGAAGTGGGGCTAACTGTGGATATTGAAGAAAAAACAAGAATATTGATTTTTTTGTTCCATAAATACAGCTTGTGTAAGAGAGATGACAGCCCAAATCTGACAGTGCATCAAGAACAGAGTGCTGCATGTTACCCAAGCAAGCAGTTGACCAGAGAAAATCAGTATAATGTGGCCAGTGCTATGTAAGATCAGCAATCATCCTGGCATGTCTGTGTTCAGTTCTTGCACACTGAAGATGAACACAAACACACACATACATACAACTTTCCCAAGAAAGTAAAACAAAGTATGTTATGTTATCATTCTAAATATTTCATTCTTGCATAAAAATGAAGTGTCTCAGCAAACTACTTCATCCCATACTATGACTGAGCTTGCTGGGATTGCAAGTTTTAAGAAACTGACAGAAATTACAACCTATAGTATCTATAGACAGCAAGAATCTCTGAGTATAATAAAGTAACACCAAAAAAAAAAAAAAAAAAAAAAATCAATCAGCATTTGCTGGCATTTACCAATTTAAACTGAATAATAGAATCATGGCTGCTGTGGGTTGGCAGGCAGCTTGAAGATGATCTGCTTCCAACCCCTCTGCCATGGGCAGGCACACCTTCCACTACACCAGGTTGCTCAGAGCCCCACCCAACCTCATCTCAGAAACCACAGCGAGAGGGCACCCACAACTGCTCTGGGCAACCTCTGCCAGTGCCTTGCCACCCTCCCAGGAAAAATAACTTAATTAAACATTTTATAATAAACTATGATTGCCTATACATCAATAAAACAATCCGTAGACTTGACCTTGCCATCACATAATCAATGCTTTCCAGTGGATTTGATTTTACAGCAGAAAGCTACAGTGGCTAGTCACAACAACACTATGATATTGTACACAATTGAAAAATTTGGGGAGGATTTTGTTTTAATTAATTGTTTATTAGCTTGGCAAAACGGCTTTGTGTTAACTATCACATGGAAATTCAAGAGTTCAGTCCTACTGACATGAATAAATATCAACTGAATTGTTTTGAAACGATACATGTACTTATTTATGGATGCTACCACTTGATAGAAGACATGATTTTTAGATCAATCTTCACATTTTTAACTATTACTGTAACTCAAACAGAACAAGTCCACCTATTTCATACTATAAATGCTATTAGTGACTACTTCACATAAACACTTTCAGGCTGATAAAAATAGATAGAAGTTAAGCTATTGATACCTGGAGACGCAGACAACTTTTTGTCTGTAACAACGGCAGTAGCTGTCTCAATGTTAGATGCATCTGTCTGTTTCTGTGGATGCCCTGCAGTTTTCTTTGTGAAAAAAAATTTTGGGTTGATATTTAATTAAATGAAAGCCAAAGCATAAATTAATGTTCTATCTTTCACTATCATTTGCTCTAGAATTGGACTAGAGGAAACTGCTCATAAAAACAGGAGTTAATAATAAATATGCAAAAACATTTAACTCTACTAACAGTGAAATTGCCTCACACTATGATATTTAGCATCTTACTTGATAAAAGTTCTTTTTCCCTAGAAACAGAAACTTCTAAGTAAATGATTACAAAAATCTCATTTTCTAGAGGATTTGTTACACTTAAGTCCATCAACTTAAATCTAATATTCCATTAGAAAAATGGAGTCTGTATCAGGAATGAGTGCTGGACCAGTGGAATCTGGTGTTTGCTATAAGGTGTACAACATTGCCAAAGACATGGAAGATTTTTAAGGAAAAGTCACTGATGTTCCGATATGACACCTCATTCACCGTTGACCTTCTGGATGAGAAGATGACTTTTTTAAGCAATATGTGGATCAAAGCTAGGTAACTAGGTAATAAAACTTTGTTTTGTGGCTAAGAGAAATACTTAAGTCTGGTTTTCTTAAGAATTCGCATTTGCACGTATTTCCATTGTTCATAGGCCTTTTTTTTTGTCTGTCTGAGCTCCTCTCCAACTCTATTTTTACAAAATTCTGAAGAACTCTGCTCTCAAATCTGTTTGAAACTGGCTAACAGGTTCTCTATTAGGTGGCCTGAGACTCACATCATCACTGCAAAAGGCTCATTTATTTATGAAACAAATCTCAGAAGAGTGAAAAGAATAGAAAATACATATGGAAAACAACTATATACTGTGTTGTGGAAACTTCCTCCCCACTTTGCTTTTAAATCCTCCTTCAAGTTCTCCATTTCCCCCACTTCTGAGGTTGGGTTTTTTAGCTGGTTTCTTTTCTTTTTCTGGTGGTAGTGGACAGAGGTAGTAATTATGGGTTTTCCCAGCTTCAGTTTCAAATTCTTCCTCAAACAATGTAATGCTTACAAGTTCTTAGCTTTCTACATCCACCAGCTACTATAACTCTTATGCTCAGTTTTGACAACTATCTAAAAAGAATCACAGAAGTAATTTCGCTTTATAGAAGAAAATGGTAAATTAAAGAGTCATTGCTTACTACATTTTAATCCTTTTTAAAAGCACTAGTTTTTGCAGAAGGAAATTTAATTGTTATGTTACCAAAAAAGTAAGTGCAATTTCTCCTGTTCTACTTACTGCTTGTTCTGTAAACTTGTTTACTTGCTTTTGAAGTTTTTGACATTCTTTGAATTTTTCCTTGTAATGATCAGCAGCCATTTGTAGACGAAGCTTCAGATCTTCAACTTCTCTGCGCAGTTCCTGCTCCACTGTGTTAGAAGTTTCCTTGGAAAAAAAAAAGAAACTATTCTCCCTTTTGTTCAAACAGCACTATTTCCCAAAAACCATTTTTTCAATGAAAGAAAGCACAATACTCCGTGTAAGTACCGAAGTTCCTATTTGTGGGAAGAAAAGGAATAGAGCAAGTAGTAGAGCACAAAAAGAGGCAGCATCTGTGATGAACTTCATTGCAAGCAGGACACATTGAGGGAGAAAATAGGCATTGGTATAATACAAGAGGCAGGTAAAGGGGATTCTTATTCTGTGGGGTGATTAATATATATCAGAAGTCTGAATGTATACCAAAAGCCTGAACACCTTCCAGAAGGTGCTCTAGCATCTTATAGACAAGTATAGCCACAGGGCAAAAATGGATAGTCCACGACTGTATTCCATCACACTCACTCTGTTTCTACTGGCAGTGGTTCAGTTCAGCCATAACACTGATATACAAGCCAAGCAAAACACATTTGCCGACTGGATATATGCCATATCTGGATACTTTCTGGTAACTTGAGTCATTCAGATGGTCTGCTACTTTTTTCAGCATGGATTTCAAAATACGTATTATACAACAGACATTTTTAGGCAAGAAACATGTAATTCTCTGATATAACAAATATAATAGTTCTTTTGAGGGCTGTACTATTCACTTTGTATTTACAGCACCATTTTAATTACTGCTCAATATTTTTTCTCCAACAGTTACATCATTACACAAGTCCTAGCAGCAAATTAATCCAATACAGTTGCAGTCACAGAAGATCCACTTAAGTCAAAATGATGAAACTTATATTAGCTCACTAGGTTTTTATCCAAGACTAGAAGGTCAAGACAGTTTCCATTATATTAACATTTTTATACTTATAAATACTAAAGTAAATTAGCTTTGACCACAAATATTGGAAGGACTCCTAAGAATTAAGAGAGAATCCATCAATGAGGAAAGAAAATTATAAAACAACCCAACTTCTACCAATCACTTTTCTTATATGAATGAATTTTTAATGCTACTGTGGCTCACATAATAGGATTGACAGGGAGAGGATTCAAAATAACACACTGCATTATTCTGTGAAAATAACATGGGGAGATGTCAATGTGTGAAGTACCAGACACCTTTCTTACCTACCTTCCAAATCAGCTAACATACATTTGACTTAAGGCAGTATTTTGAATGCCAAAAGTGAATTTGATAATCCTTTGTACTAATCATCCAGAAACATATTTCATCCCCCAACTCCACCAAAGCTAGCTCTGACAGGTTTATAAGTACAGATACACTTCAGTACTAAATACTGGCAATTTACCTGTTCATTTTTCAAAGTTGTGATTTTTTTAAGTTCAGCTAAAGCTTCAGCAAGTTGCTTTTTAAATTTTTCATTTTCCAGACGTGCACTGTGAAGATCTGCCATCGTCTTATCTCGCACATTTACTGCATCACTCAGCTCTTTTGACATTAAAACAGCTTCTTGTTTGCTAGCCTGAATCTGATCTTCGGCTTTCCGAAGCTGTTCTTTTAAAACACTTGCATCCTCCTAGGAAAGAGAAGAGATGGAAGAAAATTCATCATTTTTTAAGTCAAAGCTTACATACAGGTTGGTACAGGGATTAGAAGTACCTGAAAGAAAAATCTTGGTGCCTTTAGCAAAACCACTAAATCAAGAAGTCAGTACACATAACACACAGTACACAGTACACCATTTCCCCCATTTGCCTTCTTTGCTACCAACGCTGTGCGAACATATTTCACGATGAAGTAAAGACAAATTTAAATATTATCTATCCTGAATTTTTGTTGGATTTTCAGCTTTAGTTCTAAACATACACCAAGAAAAGTCTTCCTGTTTTCCAGAACATCTCTGTTCTTACCACCATAGAACTGCAGCTTCAAAACCAAAGTTCATTCCACAGCAACAACTCTGCTGGTAACAACAGAATAAGAGGTCTTACAATGCCTACAACAGGTTGATGTAAGACGCTGTAAAGCAGCTTTGGGATGTTCTTCTCACAGCTTCATTTCCCAAGATCTTGCACAACAAGCTTTTCAGAAGGAACAGAGAACAAAAAGTAATGAAGAGCAAGCTGCAGCATGAAGCACTAAGCGCTGCTGAAGCTCCATGGAGCAGCCCAAGAGCCAACTGACCAAGCTGAACTACTATCATTCCTCAGAGAAGGGCAGGATTACAAAATATAAATTTAAAAGTTTAAAAAACAATTAATCAAAAGCTACTACATAAGGTACTCACAGCCTCTGGGCTTCCTGATGGCATAACCATCTCATATTCTTGAGTTTACACATAAATTCAGCTATCTCTAATCCATTATTTGTTCATTTTTCAAGAATCACTTAGCAAGTCCAGAGAACACTAATGCATTTTGTAAACATTTATGAAGATGGATGGGCTAGTAAATGCCCTACAGTCCTGTCTCTTAACTACTTTTACAGCACATGATGCATTGGTTACATACTTCAGTAAATATCTGTGGTTTCAGTGTCAGACAAAAGTATTAATGATCCCATCAGAAACATCACAAGTACTTCATGATTAATAAATGGCATAAATGTTTGGTTGCTTCAGTACTGACACATACCCACCCCCTACACGTTTTTACTTCAAAATAAAATACAGTAGTAGGTTAACACATTCAAAAACAAAACTGCAGACAACAGACTAAAATAAGCTGTAACTTAAAGCAAGATAGCATGTCCTTTTTATCCTCTTGCTATTTCTGTTCAACAGCACTACTTTTCCACGTAAATTTGACATTCATAACTAATATTACTCTAACACAATTTCTATTGAGATCCAAAATGCTTTTTCTGTGAGAAGATTGGCAAGATACACAACATAAAGGTGTCTGCATAATCTGACTTCTCCATGCCAGCTTCATGTATAAAGCTGTGTCTAAACTGAATCTCTAGCTGGCACACATCTGAAGCGAAAGTCCTAGTCCATTCCATTATTGCCTATCACACTGTACATAAGAGGACAGAACAATCTCAGAGCACAGAAACTCCCATCCTTTTGAATGAAATGAAACAGGCAGATGTACCATCAGGAACAAACACCTAATGGTTATTCTATTGTGGGTTTACCCTGGGTGGACACTAAGTGTCCACCAAAGTCGCTCTATCATCGCCCTCCTCAGCCAGACATGGGGGAGGAAGTAGCTAAAAGCTCATTGAGTTGAGATAAGGACAGGGAGAGATCACACACCAATTACTGTCATAGGCAGAACAGACTTGACTTGGGGAAATTAATTTATTACCAATCAAATCACAGTAGAATAATGAGAAATAAATCCAGTCTTAAAACACCTTCACCCCCTCCCATCTTCCTAGGCTTAACTTCACTCCTGATTTCTCTATCTCCTCCCCTTCAGCAGCACAGGTAGTCAGGGAATGAGGGCTGCTGTCAGTTCATCACGCATTGAGTCTGCCACTCTGTTCTTCTCAGGGGAAGACTCCTCACACTCTTCCCCTGCTCCAGTGTGAGGTCCCTCCCATGGGAGACACTCCTCTACAAACTTCTCCAAAGTGAGTCCTTCCCACAGGCTGCAGATCTTCATGAACTTCTCCAACGTGGGTTCCCTGCAGGGTGGCATATCCTGTCAGTAAGACTCCTCCAGCATGAACTTCCCACAGGGTAGTCCACAGCCTCCATCAGACATTTCCACCTTCTCCACCACATGGGGTCCTCCATGGGCTGCAGGTGAATATCTGTTCCACTATTAGCATCCATGGGCTGCAGGGGACCAGCCTGCCTCACCAGGGTCTTCACCATGGGCTGCAGAAGAATCTCTGCTCCAGCATTTGGAACACCCTTTTCCTCTCCTTCACTGACCCTGATATCTGCAGAGTTCTCACTCCTCTCTCCAGCAGCAACTGCTCTTACACAGTTTACACCTTCCCCCACTCACTCTTCTTAAATCTGTTTCTCCAGAGGCACTACCACAGCCACTGACGGAGTCAGCCTTGGCCAGGGCTGGGACCATTTTGGAGCCAACTGGCATTGGCTCTGTCAGACATAGGGAAAGCTTCTAGCAGCTTCTCACAGAAGCCACCTCTGTAGCCCCCCTACTACCAAAACCTGCACAAACCCCATACATCTATCCCCAGACTAGAACTAGTCAGAAGTAATCCCACCTGGATCGTGGACAGTATAGATACCAGTTCTTCAGCAATTTCACTCTCATATTATGCCACACTGCTTGGTAACCACGATGCTACAACACGGCGTACCAAAAGTCGCCTCTTCCTTAGAAATCCTACTGTCACTCTTACTGCTGAGTTCTCAGTCAATTCACTCTCTTTATATGGTATCTCATACTTTCAGATTTTACATCACTGCATCTTGACAGCGCATTCACCTAACAAGTCCTTCAACGTATCTTCCCATGTTTCCTTCTCTACATCACCCTCTGCAGCTTCAACACAGCTACATTATGAACTTTTCCCCTCAACCTCTTCCTTTTTCATGCAGCTGAAAGCAACTCAGGAGTGCATCACTTTTACTGATGCACTTTTACTGAACTCACAAATTACTTTTTTACACATAGTTAATCTCACGGTTCATGACTTGAAAGACCTCAACAAGCTCAGAAGGTGCAAAACTAAACCAGAATTTAGTCTTTTGATCATTTTCTGCAACTACTAAGAGCACCATAATCCTCCTGCCTCTTAGCCTATACCCTGCTGATATCTTCCACATCTTCATTTCTCTTGTCAAGCACATACAACCTTAGATATGTTTATTTAAATCAGGCCAATTATATTAGCAATGCTTACCTTGTTTGATGAGGAGAGCAAAAAAGCTTTCTTCATATTTTCTTTTTCAGCTATACATAGCTGTAATCTGCCAACCTCCTCTTTATAATACGATATCATGTTTTCTTTGTTTGCATCCAAATTCTTAAACGTCTGGATTTCTTTTACTAGTTTGGTGTTTTCTATTTCTGTATTCTTCAAGTGTATCTGTAATGATGCTAAAACATGTCAAACTTCTTCCACGTTAGGAGAACTACTGTTCACCTGTCCATTTAAGCACTCACTAAGCTGTAACTTATCTCTGAGGCAGAACAGAACAGGTAAGGAGAAAAATCAAACATTTGATAATATCATTGCCCTCAAGCTCGAACTTTCTGGCTGGAATTCTTTCTGCTTCATCATCTAACAACAGCTCCACTCTGCAGGTAGAACTTAAGACCTAATTTCTCTCCACATCAGATTAAGCTATTCAGGATTCATTCCTCTCTTCACAAATGCTGGACAACTAAGGGCAAGCAAAAGAGAAATGTCTTGAAGAAAACTAAAGAGAAATTAAACTTCCAGTAGTATCTGCCCAGAGTCATTTAAGCAAACAGGGCTATAACAGCAATATTCATTTCCAAAAACAGAAAACTACTTTTAACAACTCTAGGGCTGTTTGAAGATGCCTTCAAATCTATTGCATTATGCCTAATAAAGGATAGCTGCTGCACTCACATGTTCTCCTCTTAGACTAGAAGATTCATGTTGCTTACTTACAAAGGGATTCTGTGCTTGTAAAAGGTGTTTTGAGATTATATGACTTCTCCTGTATGTCTAATACTGCCTGTCACAAAATGACATTTGCCTATGAACAGAAATAAGCTTTTAAATATCCTTGATTAATTTCATACAACCTAAGGATTTCATTATTTTAGCATATAAAACTCTTTTTAATTAAAGGGGACTATATTTTATTTTATATATGGTTATCTCTCAATAACAGCAAAACACATGAGCTATGCTAGTAAAAAAATCAATGCAATACAGACCCCTACCTAAAGCTTCTCAGAGTTATGCACAAGACTCAAGAATAGGCATCTAGAAGACAAAGTCTAGAGAGAGAATTTAACCAAACTAAAAATATTTTACTTAGGAAAAAGTGTCTTAAGATGACCTGGGTGATGCACCGTGCAACCAAAGAATTTTCTCACTAGCATCCATTACTTTTTTGTTATGTCTGTGCTTTTACAAGTTGGTGATCCATTCTCCTTCTGAGAAACCTTTTTATATCATGGGATGAATTCAGATATTTTCCTCGTTCATTTTTATACGAGAACACCTACAACTATCTTACAGATCTGTTCATAGAAGTTAGCCATTTCCTTTTTTCCTTAAAAAATTCAATTTATTAGACTTCTCCATAAAACATTATTACCTTTATTTCAAACCACTTCATTCCATTGTATACAGGTACAAGCCATAAAGTTACCTTATAAAGTTCTTTTTCATCCTTTTCTGTCTTTAACACACATTCAAGTTGCTCCTTCTCAAGCATCACTTTCTTCAGTTTGTCCTTCAGACTAAAATAGTGACAAATTAAGAGTACAGAACCATTAATACAGAAAAATCAATGCATATATCAAAAATTGCTAGTTTAAAAAACGCCTATGGAAAGAAACAGTACAATCAGGAAAGTAAGGAACAAAAAGACTAAATACCTGTCTAGCTCAGTTTCTTTTGCAATGGCTTTTTGAGTAACAGCCACGATATCTTCTTCAAGCTGGAGAACTTTTGAGGCAGCCTCATCATGCTTCTTCTTCAAATCATCATTTTCACTTTTAAGAGCTTCTGATGCTTGAATATTATTCTTTAAAAAAAATTTCAAGTAAACATCAGTTAACAATGTGATTTTTCAGCAGTATAACATGCTATTTGAATTAATGCCAAAATATGGTCATTAGATTTTTTCTCTTCCTAAAAATGTATGACAAGCTTATTTAAGTATATATAAGTATATATATATATGGAATATCCATATTTCATATATAAAAACATATTTAACTTTCTATGCACGGTTAATATATTAATAAAGGGTCACTATGGAGTTTATTTTGGCACAAGCATTCAGTTACACAGAGACTACCAAAGACTTCAGAGTACAGGACAAACAAAGCTGTATTTCATATCTTCTGCCTATTTCCTTTCTGCAAACTAACCTGTGACTGTCTAGCTTAGAAAATAAATAACATCTACTTCTCTTTGTTTTCATTTGAAAAGGAGAGTTTGCATTTTTCCAGATTGCTACACCACTCCAGCAAGCCACGAGACAGAAAACTATAGGCAAGAGGGGAAGAAAAAACAAAACAAACAAAAAAGCAAAAAAAAAAAACCCCAAAAAAAAAAAAAAAAAAACCCACCAAAAAAACCCCCAGAACTCCTTATTTAAAGCTGGTTGCTACACTACATTCTCCTAGCTAGAACATGTAGAAGGTCTCAGAGCTCATTCAACAATTGTGGGATTTATATCTTGGATATTGGAAGCTGAGGCAGAGTATGATGACAATACCCAAACCAGATTACTTTGTCAGAAAACTGACAAATACAAGATGGGAAGCCACTTTTGAGCACCACAGTCATTATCCAATACTGTTCTAAGGCAGTGGACAGCTAAATGTCATCTCCACCACAGCAAAATGGCTATTTAAAGTCAGGCCATCTTAAATAACATAGAAAATCGTTATTTTTAATATAATACTGCTTTCTAGAGAAAAGAATGCACCAAGATAATACACCACTCTTTCTGATATCAAAGCTCAATAAATAAAGCTCAGCTTAGTATCAACTATGAGAGTGATATGAATCAAGCTATAAACAAGGTCAAGACAGACTGACCAACATACCTGACTACAGCATAATTTGTTTGTGCAGACACTAAGGTACAAGTTGTCTTTCTGCTCAACATTTGGAAGATTAAAGCACTATTTCATCTACTCATTTTTAAATAAAGCTTAATGCCCTGAAACAACAAGACTGTACTGTTACATCAAGAGAAACACATCAGCCAGAGTTTACGAAGAACCCCTACTGGTCAAATTCCAACCTAACTAACAATGTTTTAAGTACAATAAAATATAATGAGGACTGGTTTTACTCATTAATTGTCAAAATACACTGTTCACAAGTATAATTAAGCCCTGCTTTTACAAGCAACTAAACAGAAGTTTGGGCATTATGATTTTGGGGGGGGGGGGGAAAGCGGGGTGAATTGTGAGGGGTGCAAATGTAACTGATGACTCAATCACTTCCTATACACTAAACCAGCATGTAAAGCAGACTCTTATTGTTGTTACATATGCTATATAAAAGGATTAACATATTACAACTATTTAAACTCTAAATGGCTTTATTATGCCTTAATATATTAAAGAATTTCAAGGGATCATGAATGTACCATCCTTTTAAAACAGCAGCATTGGAGAACATGACCCACAATTTTCTTAAGGTCTTTATTTTTGAAGAGCTATCCGTTTCCTGCAACCAAAAATATACACATTTGGTGTAATGAGGGCAGGATATTTTAATTAAAGTCAGTATTCCAACAAAACTTGCTATATAACCAGCAGCAACAACACACTTTATAACTGCTTGTCCTCCCCTAGTGCAGTGGAGACTAATTACTTGCCCCTGTTTTGAAAGCCTAGTATAGTAAAAAGTCTATTTCAATGCATATCTGTGTTTTCTCTAAACACCACTTTGGTATGACTGTAACTGCTGTAACCCAAGTGCCTTCAAAAGAATTTAATCTGATACATTGTATATACAAACTGTACAAACAGTTCAAACAGGCTGCCAAAGGTAACATATATTAAAAGGAATTAATAGCCTGAAAAAAATTCACTCCACAAACAGCATTACAATTGATGCTGCTTTGCCAGTTATTCTAAAGGGACATGGTACTAAAATGTAAAAGTTCCATAATTAACAGATTCTCACCTAATAAACCTGTTTAGATACAACTAAAGCCTACAGTTTTGAAAGAAAAAAAAAGGATTAATTTTTAGAGACGACTTGTTATTTTACAGAATTCTTAGCAATTCAATTTAGATGCAGCAAACCTAGTCCCATACACTGCTTACAGCAGTTTCAGAGCCTGTAAAACTTAAAACGAGTGTTCCTAGACTATTTTACAGGTAAAAGTCAACTGGGTTTAGAAAGAGTCTAAAGGGGAAGAATAATAAACACATCAACTAAAGGTACAACCTCTATTACAAAAAAAAGATAACTACTTTCTGTAATCATTGTTTAAATGCATTTATCTTATGTGGTACATCTGTAAATTTTCTTCCACTTTTTTAACAGGCAAGGAAAAAAAAAAAGCACAGCCAAAGGATCATTTTAAGGAATTGGTTTAAGAACAGCCAACAATTTTAAGGTTTTTTTTTACTTTGGATTGCATTTTTAAACCAGTTACAAATGCAGCTCCCCCCACACTCCCTCCCTAGAGCTGAACAGCCATAAGGGTGGAGGGGGGAAGCAAACTCCCCCACAAGGGTCAGAGTAAGCAGTCAGAAATTACTTAAGTCAGCTTTACTGCTGCAAACCAAAAAGCTCTCAAAACAGAAATTCGTATAAGTACTAGGTGTCTCACTAGTAAAATGAAACAAAGAAAATTCAATGTCGTTGTCAAGTGACTATCCCCAGAACCAAAATTCCACACTGAAAATTCTGATGGACCTTCAGGTAATGAACAAGATTTTGGGGGCACCAGAATCTTTACTGCTCTACTGAAATGGCAAAGTTTTAAGACTGATCACTTTGAAAATAATTTTATTGCAATGCCATGAAACACCTGACATTATGAATGACTTGATTTGTTTACAATGCACTGTTAACAGCTGCCAAAAGAAGAGAGCTTTTAGATGAAAAAGTTCTGAATTACAGATCAGTTGCCTTAGGTTTGTGGTACCTAATCATAAACACACTGACTGAACCCTCATAAAGCTATTATAAGATCTGTCTAAAGGATATAGGAAGATCACTCTTCCTGGAAACATGTTTAAAATCCATTTAATAAATAAACTTCTGCTGCAAAAGGACTAATAATCTTCCATTTGAGAACAGAATAGTCAGAAAGTTTCTAGATTCTCATGTTTATAAGAGAAAACTATGGTAAAAACCTGTCTGCTCAACAACAAAGCAGAACGTGACTTCCCTACCTATTTCTTACTTCTAATGGATTTTTGCAACAGCAGTAAAACACATCAGAGTACAGTCTGGTTAATGGAAGCAAAACGGTACAGACATCCCGTCCCATGAATCAACACACACATTTTTCAAACATACTTAAGGCAGAGTGAGATCCAGCAGATAAAATATATTATTTGCATAATACAACCTGAGACTATTTCCAGACATGACATCTTGCAGTATGGCAATGGCCACCATGGATTCTTATGCTTCATCTTCCCTTGTTCTAACGTGTAAAACTCCCTACCCACCTTTTCCAAGTCACTCCACACCTAAAGCATTTGCCTTTGATTAACAGATAGTATACGCAGTCTTTATTTTACTTTTTGGAGAATTTATACACCATAATGAAGAAGAATGAAAGGCTAAAAATGAGCTATGCAGGTCTGAAACTGAAGAGGTCAAATCAGTAAATACAAGGCAATTTATTTAAATAATAAAAAATAAAGAACACCACAGCAGCAGCACCTTTGAGTTGGACTGGTTTATCTGGACATAATTTAATGTCAGGGGAACCATTATACTTCATACCCTACAGAGAGTTTAGAGGTTCTTAAGGAATTATCTGCAGGAGCCTTTTGTTCATCCCATTGACATCACAGCAGCTCCAACGGAATTGTGTAAAACACTTGGCTGACATCATACTCTGTTTAAAGGCCCTCTAAGGAGAAATGATGAACACAACACAGCACCACTGCAGCCACTGCAAAATCTGAGTGCTCATAACACAGGGCTCAAAAGTTCTGAAAGGAAACATCAAATTGTAATTTTTCCTTTCTAAAATAAAAATTAAGAGTTAAGTAAAACAGCAAACCAATTCCAAATAAACTCAATGCTATTAAGCTCTTATCCTTGTGACTATGATTTGCAATAGAAATACTGCTGTAAAAAACACTGAAGTCTCTGTATTCCCAAAATTCAAGATATCACAGTGGTTGTACTTTAACTGTGGTTAAACAGATCAAAACTAAGGCCTAACGCTGTACGAGTTCATCTAAGTAACATCAGTCACTCAATTACTGTCATGAAGACTACAAACATGCAAGTTTATGCAGAAGGCAGATGAAGCATTTACATACAGTGATTTTGCAGCACATACTTACATGTCAGAATGTCAGTTTCTTAAAACATGTTACAATTTCACTATAAGCTATTGATTTTGCAAAGTCATTTTCATGAATACACAATCCGAAGTGCAGAATGACTCAAATGAATCTGTTTAATCATCCAGTGAAATACTTTTCAATTACCCAGTTTAAGAATTATTCATACACAGAACAGTCACTATAACCATAAAACAGAGTTTTCTCTTCACAGGATGTTTATAGTACCCAAGGGTGCTATAATTGCTGGTGCCAACCTGAGCAATTCTGAGTGTTTAATTTGTATATTAGCTTACATGAAACTGGGGGCAGGTCTGCTTTTTGGGTTGGGGAGGCAGTTTTTTGGCTGTTCAGGTTTCTGCTTTTTGGGTGGCTTGCCATTATTTGATTTTTTTTTTTTTCTGGCTGGTTTTCTTTCTAAAACATACATCCTCCTGATCATCAGATTTTCAGACATGCAGCACACATGAAGAGTCTCAACATACCCTGGTTTAAAGAGACACTAAAACCCACTTGA